TTATATCTTATCTGTTTCCGAGTCAGATGGTGTGAGGAGAAGTGTCACTTTAAAAGCCCCGGTATCCATTTTGGCTAATGGTGATGAGGCGAAAAGCGGGAGACGGATCTTTGGAGCAGCTGAGACGCGGTCGGAAGGAGCGGCAATGTGGAATCCAGAAGCTTGGAGAGGAGGAAGGAGAGAACCACGTAACATGGCGACGCGCTGACGCGACGGGAGGAGAATCAGGGGGAAGCGAGGAGGAGAGGAGACGCAACGCAACGTGACAGAAGGAGCGGACCCCTAGGTGAAACAAAGAGGCAGCAACCCGGAAGCGACACAAAAAGACATGAGAGGCACAAGAGACAATAACTTGAGATTAAGAAAACAGATTTAGAAGCAAAGAGGAGGAAGGGGAGGAGTTGAGAGTAAAAAGAGAGAGACTGGAGAATGAGACCTGGGAAAGATAGTGAAGTAAAGATATAGATTGATACAGATAGAAAGGAAATAAATAAATAAATAAGAGTTAAAGAGAACCAGGAAATAAGAAAATTAAAGGTGAGATAGTTGATAAACTACACAATATAAGCAAAAAATAAACAAAGAAATAAATCAAAACATTAAATAAATAAAAATAGAAAAATAGTAATAATATTAATAAGAATAACCAATATATATATAAATATATATAAATAAATACTAAAACAAAGGGGGAGGATACATGGCAACTGGAGGGAGTGGCAGTAGTACCAGGAAAGCATCCATACCATCACCTGGCCAAGTGCAACTGAAAATTAATACAATGAGTACCACGCAGCTATCACTTAAGGAATTAAAAGCCATGATTCAAGACTGTGTTTCACAAGCAATGAAAAAAGAAACTGACCCCATCCATGATAAAACAGATACATTAATGGAACATATTAAAACAGAAATGGAAGAAATAAAAAAACAAACAAGTGAGAACAGACAGGTAATTATAAAAATTACAAATAAAAACTACAAAACAGAAAAAAAACAATCTGGAATATGAAGTATAGGAATTAAAGATAAAAAATGAGAAAATAGAGGAAACTCTGATAAATATAGAGATGGATAAGGTCGCACTGATCCTTAGATGCCAAAATATTCCGGAAAGCATAGATAAAGACTTGAAGGAGACACTGGTGGAGAACCTTTCAAAACAAACTGACATAGGAACGAAAGAGGAAATAACCAAGGAAATAGAAGTGATTTATCACAAAAATTCACCATATGCACGAAAAAACAAAAAGCCTAGAGAGACCCATATAAAATTTTATAAAAGAGAGATGAAGGAAAAAATACTTAAAGCTGCCAGCGAGAGGAAAATAACGATAAATGACATTGAGATTAACTTTTTAAAAGAAATACCTTGCCGTGTTAGGGAGAGAAGGAGAGAATATGGACTACTGACAAACCTATTGAGAAAAAATGCGATCGTTTACCGCTGGTTGATACCAGAAGGTGTTTTGTTTACATATGGAAGCAGGAGACAGCGAATACTCCACATTTCAAATAGAAAATTTTCTGGAACAATACGGAGAGGAACTAGGATGGCAAAAAGATGAAGAAGAAGACGAAGAAGAAGAAGAGGAGGAGGATGAAGATGAAGAAGAAAAGCCAGATATTGGAGCGGAAGAAGACAAATTAGAACGTGAACAGGAGAAAAGGACTGAAAAAACAGGAAAAAAGGAGAAAAGAGGAACAAAGATCAATCCATCACAAATACAGACAAGGTATCAGTACAAGAATAAAATCCGCAACCCTAAAAAATAAATAATTAAGATATGTCAAGAGCCAAAAATTTTCAATTATCAATAAATGTTAATGGACTTATACCTGGAATAAAACTGTTATGTCCGCTGACCGCCACTAGGCGCCAGCGATGCATCGCCTAGCTTCACTCCCGAGAAACAATGGGAACTAGGCTCCTGGATTTTCCGTAAGGAACCTATAGGAACTTTGGCGGGAGATTTAAACCCACCAATAGGATCTAGGGGTGTTCCCAGTTACTGTATAAAGTTGGCCTCACGGCCGTTGTTCTATGTTCTAATTGTGTACCCGTAAACCATGCTGATCACTACATCAGTCTCTGTGGTTTATACATTCGTCTAACCCACTGCACAATAAAAACGTTGCTGGTCTTCTTAAAAATGCTACTGGAGTCCATTTTTCTCTCTCTCTCTGGCTCTTTTCCTCCCCCTCTCCCCCAGAGGCGGAGGGGGAGGGGGAGCCCTCAGTCAATTAAAGGAAGGCTTTTTTTCTCTCCTGTGCCCACCAGGAAACAGCAGAGACTGGGGAAAAGGAGCTGCGATGCCAGAAGCAGGAAGCAGCAGATGCCAGGTTCTTGGCGGGCTGGATAGGAGCCCATCAGGGGCGAGATGCAGTGCACAGGCCACATGTTAGACAATCCTGCTCTAAAATAAGGCAAACATTATACTTGCATATAATGTAGAGTGAGTCATTGTGCAGAACTATGGACAAACAATTAAATAGTTGTGTATGCTACAACTGCAGACTGGACAATTATTTGGCCTGCATGCAAAACAGATAGCTACACTGCTATTGTTATTGTAAACCACTACAACAAATGACTTCATTCTAAAAAGGAAACACCCTCTGAATGTACAGCTGCTCAGCACAGTAGGTGATAGCCTTCTAGCCATAGGATAACAACAGTGGTAGTGATCGTACTGTGGAAATGCAATTTACCACAAGGCTTTTGTGAACAGACCAGTGTCTAATTAAATTAGCATGCATCTTAATCCTAGAAAGGGATTTGCCACACCATGCAATCATTTCCAACAGAATGCAACTAAAGCTGCAGGGATGCAAAGAATGTGTGTATGCATGCACCCACCCATCTGATCTATCACTAGAAGACAGGCCTGTTTAGGAATCCAGTTGCAGAAGTATTTGCATTAGGTAGATAACAAGCAGCAAATTAAGCTACCTGCCTATTTGCATGCTGTATTCCTTGTTTCTGTACTTGTCCCTCAAGCTAAGTCAATAATAATAAACAATACCTCCACGTAATAAACAATACTCAGCCTCTCCCGTCTTCTCAATTATTCTGCTGTCAGAAAAACTCAACAGAGGGCCTTGCAATTAACATAGCCCAGATCCTCTGTGGCCTAGGCAAAAGTATTTTCCAAATGTACAATTTTACTAAAAATGTTTTTTACACTAGGGGAATGTACCCAGGGGTCATTTCCTGCAGGAGCGCACAGGAGCGGAGCTCCGGCAGTAAAGAGCCCAGGGGCGGGCACATGCAACAAGCCCCACTTGTGTCAGTTATGCTAATGAGTTATGCTAATGAATTCCTGCACCTCTTTTTCTACGAAATGACCCCTGAATGTACTTATATATGTAACCAATGATTGATGTATTTTGATGCTCAGGTTTCAATATTTATAATTTGATTAAAAATTTTAAATATAAATTTTAAATATAATTTTAGCTTTTATATATAAACTCCATATATAAGGTGTTTTCTTTTTTCAACCTGAGATGGACTGTCAAGAGTTAATGCCTAACAAAGGCTGAGAACCTTTTAGTGACAGGCTGTTCAAACGGAATTCTCTTAAGCTAGTCAGTTAATGAATGACAGTTGGGAACTAACAGTTGAAGAAGAGACAGTTAAGCACTGACTTCAGACTGAGAAGGAGGCTAAGAGAGTGAGTGGACCCTCATTAAAGCAAAAAAAAAGGGAAAAATAGATTCTAGTAAAGAGAAGTGGTCCCTGCCCAGTTAAGAAGGAAAATACCTTCTAGTACAGATAGGTGATTCCTGTCCAGTCAAAGAAGGTAAATAACTGTTAAAGAAAGGACTGATATCTAGTTTATGGGAAAAGAAGGAAACTGAAACTTGGTTGTATGTTCCTGCCTTCTAAACTTTATGTGTCAGCGAAACTCAGAAGCCTATGCTTGAGTGTTTAAGCAGAAACTGAAAAGAAAGCCTCTCCCCTCAAAGTTTTAAAGCCCTTGTTAAATAACAGAAACACTTACTTGTTGGCAACAAATTATCTGATGTTTGTGTGAATACAAAGTTACCTCAGTTTTCTTATCTGTTCACCTCATACATCCTACACCTGATTCCCCGACCTTTCTCCTTCTAAGTAAACAAAATATTTTGTTTTATTTTGAACTTTCACAAGCCTCTTGTGTGCCGTTTCAAAAGCAGAATATAAGAAGATGATTTTGTCTCTTCTACCAGTTCCCTGAGGCTGGGCCAGCATAAAGTGACTGGGTGGGACAGCCATAGACAAACAAATAAGAAGAAAATAGATAACAAGGTGGCTCAGAAAGAAAAGAAGACAAAAGAGAAAATCCTGCATGTGAGGGAGGAAAGAGGGTAAGATCGTCATACAACCTTTTTGCTTACCTGGTCAGTTATGGGTTGAAATCCCCTCCCCCCTTCTTCTTTGTTCATTTTCACTGTCTAGCAGCCCCACAGCCAGGAAAATTTCAGTGGGGATGCAGGTGGGGGCAGGTCACTTAGGGGCCTTCCCTTCCTTCCCAGAGCTGCCCTGCCGCTTCTGGTCAGTTTCGCTCCCCTCCAATCTGTTGTTTTGTTTAACAAGTGAAGGAGGGGAGTGAAACTGACTAGAAGTGGCAGGGCAGTTTCCCCTACCTTCCCCAGCCTCTCCCCAACTTCAGGGGGCTGGGGGAAGGAGAGAAAGAGTGGGAGAAGGCAGTGGCGGGGAGGCTGGGGAAGGAAAGGGAAGCTGTCCTGCTGCTTCTGGCCAGTTTCACTCCCCTCCAATCAGCTGTTATGGGAGTGAAACTGACAAGAAGTGGCAGGACGGCTTCCCTGAAAGAGCCAGCCAGGCCACAGAGAGAAGCACAGCAAAGGTGGGGGCAACTGGGGAGTCTCGCATCCTCCCACGGTGGGGTGGGGCTCATCCAGGGTGGAGCTCTGCCCCCAAATGCCTTACTGTAGCTATGGGCCTGCTGTCTAGGCTAACATAGGAAGTGAAGTAGTACCATAAAGTTACTTACTCCACAATACTGATCATCACTAAAAATCTGGGGTGGCAATGGGTTGCCTTGTGCAGGCTGCTTGTCTTGAGGAATATGCTTATACATCCAGTGCCTTTGGTCTTCTGACATGGTGATATCCACCTCTTCAAACTCAATCTTGTTGGCTTCCAGAAATTGTACAATGTCTTGCTGTCTCTTCTTAATCTAGGAAAATGAAAAAGAACAAAATTAGTACAAAAGCAGCTGTCGCTAAGACAATGTGAAAAGAAAGTCATGTCAACAAAGCTAAACTGACCGTACATAGTTCAGTTATTCTCTAAGAGATAAATGTTTTTATAACAGATGTCATGTATTTTATTTTCTCATCATAAATCCAAACAATATTTTTAAAGGCAATGTGTTCCTATGTGGGGCTGTTGCTAGCTGGCTGGCTCTGTCGTGACACCCAGGGCCGGCTCACTCACTAGGCAAACTAGGCGTTCGCCTAGAGCAGGCCGGCCCTTAGGGGTGCCAAACTGTACCCGCCCTCCTGCCAAAAGCCCCCCCCCCGCCGAACTGCGCTGCCCCCCACCAAAAGACCTGTGTCGCCCTGACCCCAGC